CTCTACCACAAAGGTATATCCCTAGTCCTTTTTATTTTTATACAGGGTCTCATTAATTTCCTGAGGCTGCCCTTGAACTTGTGATCTCCTGCTTCAGCCTCCCAAGTAGATAGAATTAAATGTGAGTACCCCTGTGCCCAGCTCCTATATTCTCTGAATACTATTTCCCACTAAAAGTAATCATTGCTCCTCAGAGAAATGGCCGATTCCAGGTCTGGGTGAGAAATAGAACATAGAATGAGATGAGCTGGTTCTTATATTGGAAAAGAAGGAAACTAAGATTTCCAGGTCAGATAAAAAGAACTCAAGAGTTACCATGTAGGTATTTCTACTGGCCAAAAAGTGCACAATTTGAACATTCAAAAATATGTGTTTAATATAAATAAACTATATATATAAACATGAATTGAAAACCAGAAAAACATTAAATATATTAAATGTCTGGGAACTCATAATGATTTTTAAAAAACAAAACCTCATTGGTTACCTTTGGAAGATGGATGCTAGGGAACCACTTATTCTGAAAACCGGTAAATAAAGAGAATCAAACATTTGCCATCTTTTTCTGTATGGATGTTTCACGAGATAATGAAATAGGTGATGAGAGGAAGGTTCTTTTTAGAAGAATTCTGATCAATGAAGAAGGAATGACAGGGTTTCACCACTTTGCAAACCCTAATGAAATCAGAAATCTAGGTGGTCATTATTTGCTGAATCCATTTGATAAAAGATGAAATATATATATATTTTACTTATTTTGCAGTATTGGGGAATCAAATCCAGGGCTTCATACTTCTATGTAGGCAGGCACTCAACTACTGAGCTCCAGCCCTGATAAGAGTTTTTATAATGAACAGGTCAAACTGGCAATATCTAAATCCAATAAACAGTCTTTACATTACATACAAACTGTGGCTGAGTGCAGTGGTGTGTGCCTATAATCCCAGCAACCCGGGAAACTGAGGCAGAAGGATTGCAAGTTTGAGGCCAGCCTCAGCAATTTAGCGAGGCCCTGTCTGAAAAGAAAAAGAAAAGGGGGCGGGGTAGGAAGGGCAGCACTGGGGATGTGGTTCAGTGGTGCTAGTTCAATCCTTAGTGCTGCAAATAAATAAATAAATATAAAACCAAACAAAAACTGTTTAAACAATTTTAAGATAAATGGAAAAATCTCAACACTGCATATTTGATATTTTTAATTTTTTAAAAATGTATAATAGTATGAGGATTTTCCTTCATCTGTAGAGTGGAGCTTCAACACCAGTCACTCCTAACATTTTGAACTGGATAATTCTTCACTGTGGGTGCTATCTGGTTGTACTCTAATGTTCAGCATCATCCCTAAACCCTCTACCCACTAGGTATGCTAATAGCACTCCTTTGTGAGACCAGTGAAAGCTATCTCCAAACACTGCCAAATGTCTCTTGGGGAGTAAAACTGCTCCTTTTTTTTTTTTTTTTTTTTTTTAAATCTTGAGTCAGGGTCTTGCTAAGCTGCTAAGGATCTCATTAAGTTGCAGAGGCTGGTCTTGGAACTTGCCACCTTCCTGCCTCAGCCTCCAGAGTTGCTGGGATTACAGACAAAATTGCCCCTGTGTCAAGAAACAGTGTTAGAAATATATACAGAAGTATTTATGATTAAAATGATATTATACCTGGGATTGTCAAAATAACCCAAGGGGGTTATAGGCAGAAGTTGAAGTGAAATGAGTCTGACCATGTGTTGACAATTGTTGAGGCTAGATGGTGGACACATGGGAATTCATTATACTGTTCCCTCTGTGTTTATGTTATTAGTTTTCCACAATAAAAGTTAAAAAGTGTAGTGTCAAAGGAGTATTATTTTCATTTCCCCAAAGCAGCATTAGCATATTGGATAAAACAAGCTGATTTTAAATCAAATGTAACTAATTTTTAGTTACAGATTATGACAGAATGATAAAAAATGTTTTCCTCATGTAAAATCATAGCCACTTTTTGCCAGTTATGGTAGCACATGCCCATAATCCCAGCAGTTCTGAAGGATGGGGCAGGAGGAACTCAAGTTCAAGGGTAGCTTCAGCAACTTAGCAAGATGGTCTCAAAATTAAAAAAATAAAAATGAAAAGTACTGGGGATGTAGTTCAGTGGTAAAATCCCTGGCACCCCCCCTCCAAAAAAAAAAAGATCTTTTAAAAGTCTTGGTCAAGACCCTTGTCTACTGCTCAAGTCCAAGAAAGGAATAATGACTGGATAATAATTCCTTTTCCAATTCTGATAATTTTCTTTTGTGGTGCTGGGGATAAAACCCAAGGCCCCATTTGTGCTAGGCAAGCACTGTGCCACAGAACTACAACCCAAACCTTCATTTTTGCTATCAACAAAATTGGGGATTCTAATCAGGTTGTACTTTTTTGTTATAAGTCATTAAGTGTCCCCCCCAAGGAGTCTTAAGAAATAAGTAACATTGCTATAATAAAACACCAACACCTCAATGTTTTTCAGGGCTTATATTTATAAACATGAAAAATTGGTCATAAACCTTATCTTATTCTAGTAAGAATATATTTATTCATAAATTTCTTAAACTTTTTTTTTTTTTTTTGCAGTACTGGGAATTGAACCCAGGGCCCTCAGACATGCCAGATTAAGTGTTGTACACTGCACCACAACTACAGACTTTTTTTAAAAAAATGTTTTTAGTTGTAGTTGGATACAATACTTTTATTTTATTTATTTTTATGTGGTGCCGAGGATCGAACCCAGAGCCTTGCAGGGTGCTAAGCAAGCGTTCTACTGCTGAGCCACAACTCCAGCCCTCTAGTCCTTTTTAACAACTATTTTTTTCTTGCCAAGTTGCTTAGGCTGGCCTCGGAACTTGGGATCCTTGTGCCTCAGACCCCCAATTTGCTGGGATTATTTTTTAAAAAAACATTTCACTTTTAAAAAAACATTTATCTCAAGAAATGAGTTCCGAATACTTTTTAGAATCCTTTGTTAAGACAATACACTGTTACTATGATCAAACATGTACTAACAATAATTGTAATGATGCAAAATATTATGATCACAAAATAAGTTTTTAGCAATTATGACAAGATGATAAAAAATGGTTTTGAAATATTACATTAGGGGGTTGGGAATGTAGTTCAGTGGTCAAGTGCTTGCCTAGCATGCTCAAGGACTTGAGTTCCATCTCTAGTACCCAAACAAAACTAGTATAAAAGTGTGAGGGAAGTGGAATAGAAACATGAGTTTAAAAAGATACAAAATTTCTAATTAGCCAAGAGCTTTGTTTATGTACCTTTTAAAATGAATGATGGTGGGTTCCATTTCATACTTCCAAGTAATTTTTACCTCAGAATTTACAATATGTTTGCAATGATACACTCATAATTTTTTTTTTAATGTTGTCACACTTAAAATCTATAGAGAACATGTAAGTTTTCCCAAATTCTTTTCAGAGCTAAATGGGCAACAATTGTGCAACCAGCACTGCTGTGATGGCTCTGGGCAGCCTGAAGATTCTAACCTTCACTTCCTTTACCAGTGTCACTCCCAGGTTTCATGAAACCTTCCTATTTTGATCTTCCCTGTCTTGTTTTCCTTATTGAATGTTAGCCCTGGATAAACACCTCATTCCCTTGAAGGAAAATGTAGAGCACAAGTCCTTAAAACCTACCTGAATTTTCAGTAACAAACATACCATGCAACACTATCTCGGTTCCAGAAAAATAAAACCAAAGATAGGGATAAATTCCTAAAGGTCCCCCAGCAGGGAAAGACAGGCTCTTCCTCAGAGCTGTTGGGAGTCATTGCCAGCCACTCACACAAACCATCACCTCCAAACTCTTCACATAGGCCTACTTACAGCGTGATTCAGTTTCCCTCTAATTTCATACTAATTTTCCAACAGTTTGGCTGGTGTTCAAAGACAACAGGATGCTTACATACATGCATTTTTATGTAAGGTTGCCTTTTAACGAGGCCATTTTTTTCCTTTTTATTATTGCTGTTTACTTTCTGTCCCCAACAGCCCCTAGCCTTCTCTGGTGACTTGCACTTAACTTAGCAGAAGCCCCCACCTGGAGAAGCGCACCATAACTGCATGCTCAACACCTGGTGTACTGCTGTCCGTAGAATAATGTAAGGTGGGCATGATGGCACATGCCTGTAATCCCAGGTACTCAGGTGACTGAGGCAGGATTTCAAATTCCAAGGCCAGCTTGGGCAACTTAGCAAGAACCTGTCTCAAAGAAAAAATTTTTAAAAGATGGTGGCGGTAGGGGATATAGCTCACTGGTATAGCACCTCTGGATTCAATCCCTAGTACCTGCAAAAAGGTGAAAACTTGCTGCAATTTAAACCTTTGGTCATTAATTAGCCAATCAGAATTTAAGTGGCATTAGTCTGCCTCCCACATTTTTTTAATTTTTTTTTAGTTGTAGATGAGCATCATACCTTTATTTATTTATGTGGTGCCTCACACATAAAGATAAAGGCTCTACCACTGAGCCACAACCCCAGCCCATCCTCACATTCCTTTTAAGACTACTTCAAGTGTAATAAAATTTAAAAGGCTAAATTTGCACATTAAAAATCACTTAAGGAGCTGGGCATTGTGGTACACATGCTTGAAAATCCTAGCTACTGGGAGGTAAAGGCAGGTGAATCCAAATTCAAGGCCAATTTGGGCAACTTTGCAAGACCCTAACTCAAAATAAAAAATAAAATGGAAGGCTGGGGATTTAGCTCGGTGGTAGAGTGCTTGCCTAGCATGTGTGAAGCCCTGGATCCTGGTAAACTTTACTTTGAAATCTAGTGCTCAATCTATAATCCCAGCTACTGGGGAGGCTGAGGCAGATAAATCAAAAGTTCAAGACCAGCTTCAGCAACTTAAAAAAAAAAAAAAAGGCTAAGGATGTAGAGGGGTTGCTTTTGTTGTGGTTTTTAATTATTAAATCTCACCCTAGTCAACACTGTTTAGCAGGAACTGCTAACAATGAAACCGAGAAAAATAAACATAAACAGGAACAAATGACCTTTTATTTCATACAGAGATACAAAGGCAATTGTGTGTAGCAACAATCTGATGGGCAGTTCAAATTCTTGGGAGGAAGTAAATTCATGGTAAATGTCATGATGGTTGGTCAAAGAGAAGGTCAAAGAAAAAGTGAGATGAGACAGGGAACGCTATCGCTAATAAAATAAAAGTGCTACATGGTGTCAGTGTTGCGACTTCAGAGCTTGGAGTGATACCTGTGCTATTAAAACAGTAATTCTACACATCTGGCACCAAAACTCCTGAAGTGCATTTGGGTTACTTTGCATTAGAAATTGCTATTTTGGGAACAAAATATTTAAAATAATTGAGTTATCCTATTTTATTAAAGGAGTTGTAAACTTTGTTCATTCCTGTCTTGGAAGCAGGTTTTGGGACGAATTTGGGATGGGTATCCTCTTTTAAGGAAACAGGGTTGACACGCTTTTTTAGTTCCAGTTTTTGAGGTGATGCTGGTTGTAAGAGCATCTTCTTTTCATCTGAGGAAAACATTTGCTAAAAAAATTGTCTTCCAAAAACAAGGACAGGGCAAGTGGCAAATCCTTCCACTGTACACTTCCCTGTGGGCTGCACCCAGGCTGCAGACAGCCTATCATGCAAAACACTTATCCAAGACTTAACATTTGTCATAGGGACACACCACATAACTTTCTATTCATCAAAACAGTTTATTGGCCTTAAATATACATAAGTAAAATTTTAAATGTTAGTTCATAATATGTTTTATGATTAAAAAAAATACTGAACCAAAACTTCAGAAAAAATTGGGAGGCTCAGTAGCATGATTTCAATATTTTTTCAGGATAAACAGATTAAAGGGGGGGGGGTAGCACTTATGACTTTTTATCCAAGAACCAAAAGCTTCCTAAACTCAATGTTTAGAATTGAATTGGTTTTAACTAAGCCTAGAAAATTGGGGTTCATAAAATAAAGGCACAATTGTCAACAGCAAGAGAAGAGAAAGAAATGGGAAGAAAATTTTATTTTAATCTCAAGTATAATATAGGTTTGCTGGTTTTTGTTTTGGCTATTTAAGGCAGGATTATCTCTCTGCAATACTGCAGATAAAACCTAGTGTTTTAGCTATAAGAAAGTTTCAAGAGTTCAGATATACAGATAAAACGATTTTAAAAAACCTTTTCTCAAGAGTATTCCAAAGACTTTTGAAGCATTATATAAATCTTTAAAATTCCTATCACTCACATTTTAAGAAATAAATCTATGCTTTAATAAGGCACTCTGAAGACAAAACAGTTTAAAAAATAATTACCTTCTACCCTAAGGCTAACCCATTCTTTTCAGATGGAGAAGACTTTGAATTAGTTAATCTCTGCACATGGGTGTACACAGGTGGGCACTCAGCCCACTCTGCGTCTACTTAGACAGCTGAACATTATCAGTGGGACTCTCTCATCCAATGGAGAAGGGGTTGTACTAACAACGTTGCCCAAATTTGATAGTGAAGTTTAAACACAATATTTTTTTTCTAAATCTGTTTTATTTGAACAGAGAACAGTAATTTGTATTAGCTCCTGCCTACAAAGAAAAAAAGAATGGAAGAGAATCAATGATCCCCTATATCCTTTGATTTTACTGGTAGGACAGAAATATAAAGGAGCCTTACTTTTCTTTTTTTCTTTTTTTTGGTACTACTGGGGATTGAACCCAGGGATTTTACCACTGAGCCACATCCCCAGCCCTATTTTGTATATTATTTACAGACAGGGTTTCACTGAATTGCTGAGGCTGTCCTCCAACTTGTGATCCTCCTGCCTTAGCCTCCCAAGTTGCTAGGATTAAGACGTGCACCGCCATGCCCAGGAGAGAGCTTCACTTTTAAATGACAACCTAATAACTGTTGATAACCTGACATTTTGTGTATGTTATATGTACCTGTTATTGATGCTAATTCCACTTCTAAATAACAATAATTTGAACTCCACTATCCTTATTACTAAGTAAAACAAACACCAAAGCTTACAAAATAGTAATACCACTTCAAAGGCTATAACAACAGCAAGGGATTTTGGTGGAGTTTCCACTCTTTCCTAAATGATGAAAGAAAACAAAGGAAGCAGAAGGGTCATACTAAGTATGAAATACAATTTCACTATGAAAAAATGGGCAACAAATGTCTCTTAGAGTGAAAGAAGATAAAATGGGGCATTGGGAGAGTACTGAAGTGGGGCATCATTGTGGGGTGAGCCTCTGCTTCCAACGAGTAAAGAAGGATCCTAGAAAGAAGCGGTGAGGTGTTTCTTTCCTTCACCCTTCTGGGCTGGCAGCAAACGATCAATTACTTCCCGTAGAACTTTTTGTTGAGAAGGAAGATCAGGAGGTTGACATTTACTTTAGCTCTATCAAATAATTTCATAACGGCAACTCCTTCATACTGTAGCTGCAGCAGGTCCTAAAAACAAAACAACCATTTTGACAGTCAATCAAATCTGTGGAACAAGAAAGGACACAATGTAGTGAGGGATCCAGAAGGAATAAAGCATGCCTCGTGTGCCAGATGCAAAGCGGGGTGAGATAGAAGTTTCTAGATACAGAACTATCTGTCCCCTGCACAGCTACCCTGGGAGCTGGAACATACAGACAAGTTGGCAAAGGGACCTTCTGGTTAATCTGGCAATAGGGAGACATTCTGTTTATATTTAAAACACACCAAACATGAAAAGAAAAAGTATGTTCAGTTATCACACATATACTTCTAAGCCCTTTTTATTTCAGCGGGCTAGGGATGTGGCTCAGTGGTATAGCACTTGCCTACCATGTGTAGGACCCTGGCTTCCATTCCCAGCATTGCAAAACTCTTTTTATTTCAGAAGTTAATGACATTTTCCCACTTCATTTCATTGTGGGTCACCAGGTTTAATAAATCTAGAAAAGGTAGAAGCATTACAAGACACGATGAAATATACTAATCATTGAAAATGAGGCAAGAGGGGCTGGGGTTAGAGTTCAGTGGTAGAGCGCTTGCCTAGCGGATTGGAAACACTGGGTTCAAACCTCAGCACAACATAAAAATAAATAAATAAGTAAAGTAAAGGTATTGTGTCCATCTACAACTAAAAAAAATATTTTAAAAGAAGAAAGTTAGAGGGGATGAGGATATAGCTCAGTTGGTAGAGTGCTTGCCTTGCATGCACAGGCCCTGGGTTCGATCCTCAGCACCAAAAAACCAAAACAAAACAAAACAAAAAACAAAGAAAGTGAGACAAGGCTAGTAATGTCTTCATAATATCTATCAGATTCTTTTTTTTTTTTAACTAGGGATTGAACCCAAGGTCTCTTGCATGCTAATGTGTGCTCTACCACTGAGCTATGCCCCCTGCCCATTAGATTCTTAATTAATTTCTGTTTCACATGAGAAATTTTTTCTGTCTTGAAGGCAAGAAATAAAACATTTATTAAGGAGCCTACTCTGTGCTGGAAATGTTTAGGCACATTATATGGTATGTTTTTAAGTCCTCACAAAAATCCTATGAAATAAGATCACACCACACCAGGTTTGAAGATGATCTCCTAAGGCTCAGAGATGCTGAATGATGTGCTCAGCAGAATAGAACTGATCATGTTGACTCCAGACCTGATTATAAAGCTGCTGCTTTCACTACTACTGGTGTAGTCCTCCCACCTGTACATTGTAGAGGAGTGGGAATGCGAAAGCAAGGGTCAAAGGAACCCAAAAGTTCAAAATTCATCTTTTGGATAAATCTTAGTAGTTCAAGAGAGTGGGGACCATTGTGTTGCCTATGCCTAACATAACACCTGGCACCCCACATCAAGTCTGGAACTTGAGCAGAAATGAATAAACTACCTTAGGCAGACTGGTAGGCCTATATGCATTTGGTGAAAATGAGGGAAAAAGTGGATTCTTTTTGTGTGGAAACAGTTAGCTATTTGTATTACAAAATCATTTCACATTTGTTTGGCCAAATACTTTGAGAGGCTACTGGCTTCTGAGAAAGAAACAAAGATGACTAAGATATACTACCTGTTCTTAAGGAGTGGCACAGTTTTGGGGGTTGGGAGGGAAATGCGTCAACGTGTACTATAAACAAAGGATGTCTCTCAGGGCTACTAAGGCAAAGGGGTGACCAACTATTGCAGTATGGCTGGGGACAAGTATTCATTATTAGATGGAGGAATAAAAGGGATGGGAAGGGGAGGAAGGGTGCCCAAGTAAAGGGAGCAACATGTTCATGTGCATGTTTATAGCAAGGCACCCGCCCAGTTTGACAGAGTGTAGCACTATGAGAAATGGGACAGTAACAGCCTATAGAACCTGGGGTGCAGCTTGGTGGCAGAGAGCCTGACCAGTATGCATGAGGCTCTGGGTTTGATCTTCAGCACAGAAGGAAAGGAAAACAAAACAAAACAAAACAAAATTTATAAAGTGTTACACATTGCTAGAAATCCTCTCAATGCCCTAATATATTTTTTTAATATCTTTATTTTTATATGTTACCGAGAATCAAACCCAGTGCCTCACACATGCTAGGCGAGCACACTACCACTTGAGCCACATCCCCAGCCCCCTTAATATTTTTTAAATATGAAAATATTAGATTTTTAAAGTAAAAATCAGGGAATCCCTGCTGAGTTCTTTTTGAATTTAAAAATGGGACTCAATTTACAAAGACACAATTTACACATACCTCATCAGGAAACATCTAACCCTACCTATCAGGGTGCAGTGGTGCACGCCCGTAATCCCAGGGACTCAGAGGCTGAGCCAGGAGGATCACAAGTTCCAGTTCAGCCTCAGCAACTTAGTGAGACCCTGTCTCAAAATCAAAAATAAAAAGGACTGGGGATGTAGTTCAGTGGTAAAGAACCCCTGGGTTCAATCCCCAGTACCAAAAAAAAAAAAAAAAAAAAAAAAAAGACAAAAACTAAACTTTAAGTACTAATATCAAATCAAAGAAGAAAAAAAATTCAAACTATACTGTCAACCCTTACACCTAAGCCTTTCATTCAAGTCCAAGGTATCAGCTCAATTTATTGGCAACACTTAGGTGGAAGATTCCTTTAAACACTTCCTGAAGATTTACACATCTTGGAAAGCTCTGCAGAGTGCATAGGCCAAATTAGACACATTGAGACACTTGGCTTCTTTTGGCTCTTTCCCAAGCTCAGCTGAACAGAGACAGTTTTCCTCCAAAGGGGTCTTCTTTTTATCTCCTTCTCCCACCTTGATAAGAATATAACTTACCTCACAGAGAAGCTTTTGGTTCTACCTGTGCATACCCACCTGATAGTGTAGCATAAATGTCTCCATTTGAACGCCCATGAATTTGGCTTTCACTTCAAAGTCTCCAACTTCTTCTGTTGGATTGATTTCAAAGATAACATTTTTAAACCTGTTGAAACATAACATATGGGTGTGCTTTTTATGTTCTCATAGAACAATATTCTGTGAACTGAGAAAAGGGATAAATTCAGTCTTCATGAGTGAAAAGGGGCAGAGGTACAGGTTCAAAGTCCTGCTGCAGGTGAAGGAGCATGGTCTGCCATTGCTCGGTACCCTTTGTTTTGGAAACTGGAGGGAAGAATGGTGACCTCTCTCCACAGCATTTGCATTCTACTCAAAGAGGAGCTACTGGGGAATACCACAAGAGACCTGTGAAAGGGTGACATCAGAGAATTCCTTTGGTCTTCCACATGGTCACTGTTGAAACTTGGTTGATAAACTGAGGAAAGTGGCTGGAGGGAGAGCATTTGTGTTTGGGTACAGTATGCATGCACATTTGAGGATTGGGAGAATTGAGTAAGTAAAACAAAGGGAGTTAGTAAAAGGAACAAGAGGAAGAGGAGGTTTTCTGGAAAGGGTAGGTGTTGTATATTTAAATGCACTGAGAATGACCAAAGTAAAACTGCTATTATTGTATTACTCAGTCTAAATACCCACAATTTTAAGGAGATATTTTTAACTATTAAAATTAAAAAAATATAAAAAATTATCTTATTCATTATTCAGTGGTGGCAAGGAAATAATGAGAGAGGTATTCATATATACTTCAGACACTAATGGGAAATATTTTGGCAACATGTGTTAAGAGTTTATATTTTTTCCTTCAACCTCATAAATGAAATCAGAGTGCATAGGCTAAATTAGACACACTGAAACACTTGGCTTCTTTCGGCTCTTTCCCAAGCTCAGCTGAACAGAGACAATTTTCCCCCAAAGGGGTCTTCTTTTTATCTCCTTCTCCCACCTTAATAAGAATATAACTAGAAAACAGTATGACAGCTCCTCAAAAAATTAAACGAGGGCTGGGGATGTGGCTCAAGCAGTAGCGCGCCCATCTGGCATGAGTGCAGCCCGGGTTCGATCCTCAGCACCACATACAAAGATGTGTCCGCCAATAAATGAAAAATAAATATTAAAAAAAATTTTCTCTCTCTCTCTCTCTCTCTTAAAAAAAAAATTTAAACTAGAACTGCCATCTGATATAGCAATCTCATTTTAGGGTACATATCCAAAGAATTAAAAGCAGGATCTCAAAGAGATATTTACATACCCACATTTGTTCCAACACTATTCACACTAGCCAAGAGGTGGAAACGACACATGCATCCATCAACGGATGAATGGATAAACAAAATGTGGTAATACATACAATAGAATATTAGTCAGCCTTAAAAAGGAAGGAAATCCTGTCACATGGATGAACCTTGAGACATTATGGTATGTGAAATAAGCCAGCAACGAAGATAAATAGTGTCTGATTTCATTTATGAGGTAACATGGTCAAATTCACAGAACAGAAACTAAAATGGTGGTTGCCAGAGACTGGCAGGAGGAGGAAAGAGGGAGATGCCATTTAATGGGTAGAATTTTGCAAGATGAAAAATGATAGCATTTTTTATAATAAAATAATTTTTTAAACTTATTTAACCAGAAATTCCATTTCTAGACATCTACTATTTAAAACAAATACTAGAGTGGTGGCATGGGCCTCTAGTCCCAGTTAGAGGGGAGGACTGCTTGAGTCCTGGAACCTAAGACCAGCCTGGGCAGCATAGCAAGACCTTGTCTCCTACTCCCCCCACCCAATATAACCAATTTAAGCAGTTTACAATAGGCTAAATTAGAGAATTTTATGTAGCCATTAAATGAGATGCTTTCAGTTGGTCACAGTGGTGCATGCCTATAATTTCAGCTACACAAGAGGCTGAGGTAAGAGGATCGAAAGTTCTGAGCCAGGGCTGGGGATGTGGCTCAAGAGGTAGCGCGCTCGCCTGGCATGCGTGCGGCCCGGGTTTGATCTTCAGCACTACATAAAACAAAGATGTTGTGTCTGCCAAAAACTAAAAATAAATAAATAAATATTAAAAAGTTCTCTCTCTCTCTAAAAATAAAACAAAAATTAAAAAAGATTACTTGATAATAAACAATATCATACTAATTTACATTAAGAAAATAAGTAGGGGAATATAGCTTACCTAGTATGAGTGAGGCACTGGGTTCATTCCTCAGTGCCACATAAAAATAAAATAGAGAATGTGTCCATCTACAACATACATATATATATGTGTGTGTGTGTGTGTGTGTGTGTAGGTAGATTAAGTGGGGCAAAATAGATATTCCTCATGTGAACAGGGGAAAAGAAGAAAATATACTAAAATGATTTTCAGTGGTTCTCTCTCACTTATGGGAATAAAAATGCTTTTTCTTTTCCTTTTTGCTTTATCATATTTTCAAAGTTCAATAATGAATATATATATACATACATACATATATATATGTGTATATATATATTTATATTTATTTTTTTTTTAGTTTCAGGTGGACACAATATCTTTATTTTACATTTATGTGGTGCTGAGGATTGAACCCAGTGCCTCGTACATGCTAGGCAAGCGCTCTACCACTGAGCCACAACCCCGGCCCCCTGAATATATATTTTAGAATAAAAAAAAAAAAATAAAAGTTTCGATTTTTTTTGTAGTTGTATATGGACAGCACACCTTTTATTTTATTTATTTATTTTTATGCAGCTAATGATTGAACCCAGTGCCTCATACATGCTAGACAAGTGCTCTGCCACTGAGCTATAGCCCCAGCCCAAAAGTTTCCTTTTGACTAGACACAAAAAGAAATAGCTCAGCAGTCTGAAGTCAATGGGGCTAACTAAGCAGATGCTCTCAATATTTGAGTTTGTGAATGATTCTGGACCTTCAGGAAGACATAGGGTCAGATCCACAAAGCAAGCTAGTGCTTCCCAGAAAAGAAAATGAAAATTCTACAAGTAGAATAAAGTGCTTTTACTCTTGTTTGGTTTTATGGTACTGGGGATTGAATCCAGGGCTTCATTCATGCTAGGCAAACATTCTACCACTGTTCTACAGCCCCAATCCTTTTAATTTTGAAACAGGGTCTCACTAAGTTACTAAGATGCTGAGGTTGACCTTAAACTTGAGATCCTCCTGCCTCAGCCTCCTGCGCAACTGGAATAACAGGCTGGTGTCAACAAGTAAATGCTTCTTATTATTGTTATCTTATTTTTGGTCTACACAGAAGAAATGGATTCTTGTTTTAAAAAGGAAAAATTAAGATGAGGCACACACAGAAACAAGTGTGATTGTGCTCTGAGACAAATGTTCCACAAAGAAGAGAAATACATTTTCTTTTATGACAAATTAATTTTGTATGAGGCCAAACTTTGCACATAAAAAAATTAGGTGTATATATTTCTTTATATGTATATTTATTTGTATATGTATATGTGTATTAATACATAAAAAATACAAAGCGGCCACCAGGAAAGAGAAATAAAGGCAAGAAGAAGTGATGAATGCAAAAATTTAAAAACCAACAAAGTAAAAGGGGGGGGAAAATACTCACTGATTCACTTGTAGGTCCTCAATCTCCAGAAGAACTCCTTTTTCATGAAGTCTGGCTGCTGTATATTTCAGAGAGATCTTTTTGCTTTTCTTTCCCTTCATTTCCCTAGGCTTTTTGGAGACTCTGTTTTTAGGGGGGAGGGGGGGGAAAGTCTTTTTAAAAAAATATTATTTTTTAGTTGCAATTGGACACAATACCTTTATTTATTTATATTTATTTTGTGGTGCTAGGGATTGAACCCAGGGCCTTGTACATGCAAAGCAAGCACTCTACCAACTGAGCTACAGCCTCAGCCCAATACCTCTATTTTTTTAAATTTTATGTGGTGCTGAGGATCGAACCTAGGACCCCGCACATGCGAGATGAGCACTCTACCACTGAGCCACAACTCCAGGCCTTATGTCACTTTTTTATAAGTAACTATTTTCTATGGGTCCTAGTCACTGGTAATTCAGAAATGAGGCCAGAAAACTCATTACATAAGCCTAAGTAACACAGCACTTGTAGAATGGTGAACAGTGTTAGGATTTGTCAGGGTGGTCTCGGGAGGGGAAATATTACTATACTGCTTCTGCTTTAGTTTAAGTTATACTTGAGAATACTGCGATGGATCCAACAGTGTCTTAATGCTTCTATGTCCTTCTTGGAACATAGACATCTAACTAGCAAGTAAGCAAGCCTGAGGCAACCATAACAAGTCTCTGGGTTAAGGAGTAACTCCAAAACCCTAGGATATATAGGGAAAATTTTTTCACACAAATAATTTTTAAGCATTTAAGCCAGCATAGCAATCACAGAAATGGGAGTAAGGAAAAACAAACGGGTATTAGAGGACTATTAAGATAATCAAGTTGTGATAATATCTTGATAATCAAGATATGAAGTTGATAAGTAAGCAAGGGAAGGAGAGACAAATGAGATCTATATATTTGGGGCTCCCAAGGAGAAGGTTTTCAGAAATGCTGGTAGGAGTGCAAATGGGAACAATTACCATGAAAGGTATATAGAAATATCAAAATTATGGTTGCAGAGAAATTCTGACTTGGCAATTCCTCTCCTAGGAATCAATTTTCAGAAATAAAGCTCACATTTGCAAAATGACAAAACATACAAGTTTATCCAGAGAATTAATTAAATAAAGTGTTTTATCTATCTACACAATGGATTAGTATGTAGTCATTAAAAAAAGAAATGAGGACCTGGCTATGTCTGCTTAGAAGATCTAAAAGCAGAGGCCACTTGGGCAATGAGCACATCTCATTGTTAGATATTTTTGGTTTCTAAACACCATTAACTAGAATTGGTGATGATGCACAAATAATTCATTCCAGGTCCAGGGAGGCAAAGCTACAAGTTGAACTTGAAACACCATGTGCCAGACAGGCAGGAAATGTACAAGGAATGACAGACACATGTCAAAAAGACACAGAAGTCAGCTCCGCAAGCTAGGTTAGGTGAGTCTGGTTCCCATCCCTTAAATATCAGCCCTGCCTCATTCCAAAGAAAAAATGAAAAATATACCTGTGTAAGAGTGAAGAAGTCACAGAGAAGCAGATGCAGCAAAACATGAAAACCTAGTGAATCTAGGTGAAGTATACATGGGTGCTTATTGTTCTATTCAATCAACCTTTCTAAAGTTTGAAAATTCTTTTTTTTTTTTTTTTTTTGTACCAGGGATTGAATCCAGGAGCATTTAACCACTGAGTGACATCCCTAGCCCTTTTTATTTTTTGAGTCAGAGTCTTGCTTAGTAGCTTAGGGCCTTGCTAAGTTGCTGAGGCTGGCTTTGAACTCGTGATCCTCCTGCCTCAGCCTCCCAAACCACTGGGATTTTCGACATGCACTGCTGTGCCTGGCTGAAAATTCTTGAGGTTAGAGTTAAGGGTGAAAAGTAAACCAACCTCACAAGTAGAACCTGCACTCATCACCTCACCTCTCTGGGTGTTCAGTCTCTCCTTGTAATGAGTATGCTGATGGTTTGTGACTAGCTCTAGGAAAGCTGTACCAGATTTTCCTCAGATTCTGATCCTGTCCCCAGGGGCTAGGGAATCCAAATTTGTCTAATATTCCTTAAGAGACTTGAAAGCACACTTAGATTTTGCGACCACTAGATGACCAATCTTCACGATTCTCTAATTTCTATAAGCTCAAGGAGGTATTTTGGAACTAGGAATGCTCTGGTGTAAGCATCCTTGAAATTGCCCCCATCCTCTGCATTATTTCCATCATACACTAGTGAATGGAGGTAGCCAATTATGCAAATAACGAGAAGCAAGATAGAGAACTAATGTGATAAAACAGATCCAGGCTGTGTTAGGTAAAACTTTTCAATGTCACTTCAATAGCCTGTACTCTTTCCCCACTCAATCCTATTCTTTCCTTGGATTGATTTTTTTTAATACTCACTTGCCCTTGCTGGCTAAGTTATCCAAGCAGGTTTTGATATAGCTTTTATAGTAATCCACCTGCTCCCCATAAAAGGTGGCTTTAGAATTCAGAGCAGCATATGTTTGTTGCAATTTCACCAGTTCGGCCTTTCTCCTTTGTCGGTATCTCCGCTGATTCCGAATGTCCTGAAACATAAGCATTAAGATTAGGAAAATAATGATACCATGTGCTTCTTGAATCATCGTGGTTTATTCAGCACTAGACCCCAGCAATGCTTAACTCTGTCTTGAGCATGAACACACATTCCTAACAGGCAGCAATCTGGGTTCACAAATTAATATATATTGTCGAGAGAGAAAAAAAGAACATCAATCACTGAGTTCTTAGGTGTACCTGGTATCCTTAGTGCAATAACAGAGAATGCCTAAAATTCTCAGCTTACATTAGAGCCCCTCACTTGAAATGAATCATACAAATCAAGGATCTGATGACCAACTTTATACTTCATAGTAACTATGAAAAAGATCTGAAGAATTCTTTAAGGCCAAGGACAAGTTTAGACCCAGGAAACTCTAATATAGGATCCTCTCCCTTTTAATTTAGGCTATGGAATAAGGTACAACAGGACAAGCAAGGTCCTCAAGTCAGAGTCAGAAACAGTTTCTTAGAGGGGAAGATGATAATTCGTGAACTGAAGCTCTTCTCTGAGCAACTACTATCCCTCTATGAGCCCCTGAAATAACTTTTAAAAAGGCAAGGCCATTACTGTCCCCCAAATTCAGTACCCTGGCAATGTCGTTAATCAGTTCCTGGTATTTGTTCTTTGGGTTCACAGTTCCAAGTTCCGTTAGCTTCTTTAAGCCTGTCTGGATCTTCTCTTTCTTCTCCTGGAGAGTGAGGTTGTTGTCTTCCTTCACAGTCTTTGACTTTTTCATCTTATCAGGAGTTTTAGCATCACGAATAGCCCGTCTCTGCATGGCCCTCTGATGTTCTGCTTCCTACAGATGAGAAAAACAAGTTCTTGGCAAGGTTGCCACACTGATTCCAAAATTGGATTTACATAGCTTATTTGTATTTGAATTTATACAGTTCTCAAATTTCATTCTAGAAACAGAGGGGAACAAGTTATGCCTCTCTGCCAAATGACAAATGAGAAACTTCATGAAGCAGAGGAAGGTAATCATAGATACCATGTGCTTTTAAATTTTTCAAAACCTGGCTCCACAAATGTCATAACTACAGTAACAACATCAGTGACCAGTAAAACCTTGCTAATCCTTTGGCCACCTTGTCCAGGCTGAATCAAGCCATCCCTCTGCTTTCAAACATACTGCAAATGACAATATCTTAAGAAGGGAAAAACCTTCCTTGGAGGGCTGAGGCTGTAGCTCAATGGCAGAGCACTTGCCAAGCACTCATGAGGCACTAGGTTTAATCCTTAGCATAAAAATAAACGAATAAAATAAAGACATTCTGTCCATCTATAACTACAAAAAACAATAACAACAACAACAAAAATAAAAAACAACCTTCTTTCAATTCTGCCGTCTTTCCTTGTTATCATTCATTTGTCAGTTACATCTCTGCCCAACAAATGATCTACACTTGCTATTCCAGTCTTTTAGCCTTTTCTTCTTCAACAACTTCAGTATCTACAGCTCTCATCACCAATTACCATTCTCCCGCCCCAAATCCAATAACTTTACTTGGTTGTCACTTTGCTCATCTGCTCTGCATTTTTTCTTCATGGGTTTGATACTTCCAAGTGACCCATGACCATTTCTCTTTATATATTCTCAATACTTTAATGATCACCTTTATGGTAATAGAATCCAAATCTTTGCATAAAAGGTTCTGGTGGCGCTTTTTGTTTTGTTGATACTGGGGATTTAACCCAGAGGCATTTTACCCTAGTTACATCCCCAGTTCTTTTTTTTTTTTTTTTGAGACAGGGTCTAAGTTGCTTAGGGCTTTTATCTGCCTGCCTCAGCCTCCTGAGTCACTTGGATTACAGCTGTGTGCCACCATGCCCAGCCAGTATGTTTTGAACCGCTTATAATGGGAAGTTATATTTGCAGTGGCTTGTAGTTCAAATTTGTAATTCCTCCCAAATAGAATGATTCCCTTTCCTGTTTCCCACTATCCCTCTTTCTTCTAATGTCGAGACAACTGTGCATCCCATAATGCAAAAGAGTGCAGCCTCTGGAGTCAGACAGAACTGGATCCAAGTCTGTTTTTTTTTTTTTTGCAACAGGCTGGTGATCTTAACCTGTAAGGGTCTTGGTTTCCTAATTTGTAAAACAGGGATGAAAAGACTCACCTCACAGGGATAATGTGAGGAATAAATGAAAAACAAAAGATTAACAGAAGTACTAACAAATAATAGATTTTCAATAGAGGATGGTTCCTGCTTTCCTACTTCAAATTTCCTTCCAGATTAAAGATGCTACAGTTATTGGGCATACCTATTCTTGTCCCTCATACACACCTAAGTAGTAATAGATTGTAGTGTCTAAAAGCTGAGAATTCATTTAAAACAGTGGTTTTCAAACAGTTCTCTGTGTAGCCTTGAGGATTTCCCAGAGGTACCATGAGTCCTGGAGGGCCATGTTCTTGGAACTCCCAAAGTAACTCTAGTTTTACTTGCCCTACCCACCCCACCCCAATACTAAGGATTGAACTTTTAAAAGGTCCTCTACTACTGAGCCACATCCCCAGGACTTTTTAAAAATTTATTTTGAGATAAGGTTTTTATCAACTTTGCCCAAGATGGTGTCGAACTTGTGATTTTTCTGCCTCAGTCTCCTGAGTAGCTCAGGTTTCAGATGTTCCCACCATGTTTGATTTATAGGGGGCTTTCCCTACCTCTTCCCACATTTTCACTGGTGGATTGTAGTTGTATATAATAATGGGGTTTGTTGTTACATATTGTACATGCACATGATTTATCTATGTAATTTGATAATATCACTCCCCACTACCTCCCCCTCACTCAACTCTTCCCGTTCCCCCCTGGTCCTTTTCCTCTACCAATCTCCCTTTTATAGTGGGCTTCTAAGTAAGTTATCAACTTAATGAAGAAAATTCCCATGATTAAAACATGAAAAAAAAAAAATGACCTGACCAACTTTCTCATCTGACAAATGAGAAACAAGTTTTAAACATGAAGTGGACCCACCAACCCTTCCCAAAGCCTACTTCCCCATTCCACCCCTCACTCTGAGACTTTATCACACATTTAGATAATTCAACCACCATCTTCCCTGACAACTTTGCCCAATTAATCAATATTAAATGACCTCAGGGTTTACAAACATGCTTTAGTCCTTAGTCCTTTAGGGCTAAATTCCTGTCTAGCTTTTGGGTTCTAAATAATTTGGTCTTGTGTGATTTTTTTTTTTTCTCATTACTTCCTTCCGCTCACATCTTCATCCTAGATATGTAGTCCGATCATGTCACGCTCTTCCTCTCCTTTGCACCTTTGTTCATGTGGGCTCTCCTGCACAGAATGCCTTCTCTTGACTTAAATGCACATCCAGATCCTGCCCATTCTGCAAGTTATACTTTTTCATGGAGCCTTCCTGATGCCCTTCTCCTCATTCACCTCTTTCCTCAAACTTAAATCGTTTTTATACTCTGTATAGAGTTAACTTTAAATGGTTTTATCACTGTTTCCAGTATATAGGTCACATTTCCCCAACAGAATCTTTTTCTTTTTCTTTCTTTTTTTTTTTTTTTTAGTTTTCGGCAGACACAACATCTTTATTTGTATGTGGTGCTGAGGATCGAACCCGGGCCGCATGCATGCCAGGTGAGCGTGCTACTGCTTGAGCCACATCCCCAGCCCTAGAATCTTAAAATCATTAAATTTAGGAGCCACATTCTGTACTTTTCTTCTATATACCAAGGTTGATAGAATTCCAACTATAAAATATTCAATAAATTACTAAATGAACTCATTGACTCTGCCCCAGGTTAAAATGACTCACTCTCTGAATGTACGTGTCAGAGAGCTTTATGTCCTAAGAACATTTTCTGGATGTTCTGGAACTAACAACTTTCTCAAACTAGTCCTAATTACCACCATCCTCTGGTTAAATCCAGAGTCACCCTAGATCACAATCTCTTATCTGTGTCCACCTCCTTTAACCCTGGCATGCACTTACAGGAAAGCTTATCTACCTTAGGAAGATGTTAAGTTAAACCTAAAATTTTACCTGTTCACTGGTGGCTGGTATTTCTAGGATTTCAGTTAAGGTCTCTCCTGGCTGGAATCGGATGACATCCACGATTAAACGTTTTGTGCTAAAATGAGATGAGAAAGCATTTAAACATTATACTGTGTATTTTGCTTCCTTTTAAGTGAACTAAAGCAATAACAATACAAATATCATTTCACAGAGATGCCAGCAGACAGCTGGTGATACAAGGTACTTGAGGCCCTGGGCTTATTTACGAAATTACAACAGTAGGTACCAGGGTTATGATTTCTGAGATTTAAGTTTTATTTTAGAACATTAGCAAAGTAAGACAAATACTTTTACAAATAAGGTATTAAAATGCCATGCATAAGAGATAACCAGAATTATGATAGTTATGAAGGCCAGGAGGATCATTTCAGGTACAATCCAGTTTGCTCTCTCACCAAAGGTCCAAGGATCTTTGAATTACATTCACTTCATTCTTCCTACTTTCAATACTCACTTCAATAAGATGGTCCGAGCATCCATTTCTGCATTCTCATCTCCAGGCACATCAAACTTATTAGTCAATGTGAGAGACACTTCTGTCTTAGCCAGTGCCTCCTTATTTGGGTCATTTAAATTGCCAGCGCTTTCCCCTGAAGGTTTGCGGGTGGGGGAGAGAAGAGAGTTAATATAATAAAAGGAGGAGATATTTGGGTGATAGTATACAAATAAAATATGCAAGTCTAAGATGATACTTGAATAAGACAACACAGTGTGGCAAGAATACTTTTTACTCAGAAATAAAAGAAAATATTATGCCAAAACTAAAAAGGCAAAGGATCCATAATGAAATAATTTCATAAATAGCTGACAAATAATTTTAACTCTGTAATATCACAATTCTCTCTCAAAATCTCTTCCTTACAGGACTCTCTAATTGTATGATTATTTATACTTAAAATGATCTCTTCCATTGGACTTCAACTTCTCACAGAAAGGGGCCACATTTGTTTTTGTTTCCCAGTACATATCCAGAATTTGGTAAAGTGCAAAATCAGAGGAGGTAATGACAACACAACACTTTTCTGTCGTGTTCACCTCTCATCTTCTGGGCAGTTAAGTCAGAGCATTACCTATCAGGGACTCAATGGTGGGCACCTCTCCAAGGTCGTCCAGCAGTTCATGGATTGGATCATTGTGCTCTGGAGCAATGGCATCCTGGTGGTCTAACAGGAGCTGAAAAGATCCTATTTTCAATACTATTTTCATACCCAGCTGTCTAGCTCCCATCGTGGCCCACCCATGATGCCTACTAGTGATCTATACAAAGGAGGCCAGACAACAAAGCTCGTATGTTCAAAACACTGACAAGCTAACCCTCAGCCAATTAAATCAAATAAAAACGAAATATATTAAGTAGCACAATAGGCTCCATTGACTGACGTATTAGTTATGATGTATGGAGAAGAAACACTTGATACTCTTTAAACTTCACGGCCCCAATGAAATCCATAGACTTCAATATCTAAATTCATCAATATAGCCTACTGCCAGTTCAAATAACTCACATTCAGACTGTAAATGCTTCCAGGGTAGAATATCTGTGGGCAACCCCAACCCCCACCGTGGGAGATCAAATGCAGCCAGTGTATAATATTGTTTTGTTTTGTTTTGTTTTTTTTGTACCAGGGATTGAACCTAGGGGCACTTAGCTGGTTTTGAACTAGTGGTCCTCCAGCCTCAGCCTCCTGAGCTGCTGGGATTACAGGTGTGTGCCACCATACCTGGCACAATATCTTTTAATTCAGTGAAAAGCACACCAAATGAATATTTCATTATCAAGCCCTCAAGATGGTATTATCATAGGTTATGTCCTCAGAGATGACAGTCTCTGAAATTTCACTTATATTTCACATACATCCTCATTTCTTTTTCTGCATGTCCCCAAAGGGGAAAGAAATAATTTGAAAACTCTGCGGAAATAGGAGCTTCCAAGGGTGGGGGAGTCACTCCAAGGCTATAGAGAGGAAGAAATTGGTATTCTAGATAATGTTTTAAAAAACACAATTTTTTCAAGCCACTAGATAAGTGCTCACAATGTACATTTTGGAGCCCAGGGATTCTGACTCACTTAGTCCACGTGTGGTGGGGTCAGGCAACTTGATAATTCTAATGTAGGTGACCTGGGAATAATTTCCAGAAACTAAGCATGCAAGAGGCTATAGTTTCGATACCCAGAATTGTCGGGGAGTAGGGGAGAGGCAAAGGAAGAAAGACAACAAGATTTGGTGTCATTAACATCACAGGATGCTGAGATACTTGACCACCAGACATAGTAAGCAGCAGCCAAGGAAGATAATTAATTAATGACAGAGTAATGAAATTAAGTAATTAAAGAAAAATACTTACAGTGTGGGTGTTGATGATTTCACCAATGGAAATGTAGATAACTGGTTTGGTGAGGGTTACTAAATCAGAATACTCATCCACATTAAATTTATCCTGCAGCTCTGGGACATCACAAGCAGTTTGGAAAAATCGTCTGAAAATAAACACAGGAGGCAGCCCCCCAACAAGTGACACACACATGAGAAGCTTGCAAGATGAAAGTCCACAACCTTTCAAGCAATGAGTTCAGACAGAAGCTAGTGAAGAGAATTAATTCTAGAGAAACTACTGCATATTTGATGTAAAAACTGCTGCTTGATAGCTTTGGGATACTGGTTCAAATAATTCTGTTCTATATCTAGTTTTAGTTCTGCCCACAAGAACCACTCAACTACAATTTAAAACAGTTCTCAGACACCCATGCCATTTACCTGTAGGATAGTACTCTGAAGCAGTGAATCCAAAACTGTTAATTAATCAAAATTAAGAGCACTTAATTCTTCTTTGATTACAAAGAAACATGGGCCTAACCTATAACTACTGTTTTTATATTAAGTACTGTCTATGTCATAAGAAAATATTCTTCAAAACGAATGCACCATCCTTTGGAGCCCTGAGTATATCAAACATGTATCTTTTGATATGGCAGCTCAGTCCAGGGAAAGCTAGAGGTGGTATTTAACCTTGTCTTTTCCCTCAGAGATTAAAATATGCTCATAGAATCTTTCAGATATTTTGTGCCTTTCTCTTACCTGAATTTCTGGTAGGACTGGGAAAGATACTCATTAATGATGCTTAAGTGGGCATTATCTCCCAGGAACATCTTATTGGAAGCTGCATGTTGGAGCATCTTTGCAATGGAGCCCAGATTTCGGCGTTGGTCAGTGGTAAGTTGGCCTCCTGCCGACAGGTCAATGATGTCAAAGGCATCAGGAGCAACAATGGCTGGATTCATGTATCGGTAGTAAAGCAAGTTACCAATAATCTGGAAACAGATAAAAAATAATGCTGGCTATTAAAAACCATATCACCAAGTACACCACTAATGACTTTGCTAGCAAAGAAAATGAGAAAATGCAATCCTGTGAGGAAAAAAATAAAACACACACACACACACACACACACCACACACACGCGCGTGCGCACATGCACCATGCATAGATAAACTTTCTCTCAGGGCCTAGAATTAGAATAAAAATTATTTTGTTGGGTGTGGGGAAAAAAGGGAGAACCACTACCAGTAACTGATGAAAGAAGAGATTCGGAAATAAAAATGATAGACTTAAGGGCATCTTTTGTTCATATATCATGGTAGCAAATAAAGTTGCTGTCATCCACATGCACTTTTTACTTTCACACAGGTGGGCTTTTCATTATAAGAAGCTAATAAACATAGTTAAGATAAGTACTTAAACACAATCTACTTAGCATAGTGCAAGCTGCCCAACCCCCATCATCCTCATGCTGCAGACTTCAAAGGCAAACTTTATGCCTCTGAAATGAAATCACTCAACATACATCTCTACTGTAGAAGAATTCAAGGACAGTCACAGCATTTCCCCTAGAGGTTTCATTCAGAAAAAATAAAATTAATTCACCTGAATAGAAAGTCTAGAATCGAGGCCTCACTGTGGAAAAGCACAGAACTAGGAGAGAGAAGAAAAAAGCGTTCAGATTAAAAAAAAGAAGAAGAAAAGAGTGTAGCTGAGTAAGAAAGTTTTTTCAGCAATAGCTTTAGCAGAAACAATTGTGCTTGCTATTTTTCACCTGGCCACCAGCAGAGGGAGCAATTCTTCAGCGAGAAGATAGAACTCAGAAATTTAATGAGACAGGAAAAAAAATCCATCTTCCTCTACTTGTGTTTAAGGTACACTGAGTGCCATTCAAATTGAATAGGAACTGTTTCATACCAAGAGATCCATGATTTACTATTTACAATTGCTTTTAAGAGTTCACAATCAATGGTGAATTATGCCAGAAACTAAGCTTAGGCACCCACTAATGGTCTGTCAGGACTAATTTTGTAACTTTTTCTTCAAAGGGCTATTAGAAGGGCAAGATTCTGTCTGTTTTCAGACTCTTACCTTCAGCAGCTCGTCCTCACCAGCATCAGGAAACTTCTCATGCAAGGAGTCTTTCAGCACTTTGGCAATGAAGCGCATCCCATAACTGTAGGATGGACAGTGAGAAGGGTCAAACGAACAGCAAGACACTAACATTGGGATATATTTGGGGTCATAAAAACTGATAACACTCACGGGATTTTGTCGACAGAGCTGATGATGGCTGAGAGGAACTTGTCTGTCACAGCCCTCATGTTCCTAATAGAGTTGTCTAGCCTTGTCTTCACTTCTTCATGAGCCAGAGCCTGCTCAGGGGTCACATCATAGGGCAGTTTGCTGGAAAAGCAGAAATTCCCCCCAACTATGTTAGACTGACAGCCAGGAACCATGACTTTTATACACAGAAAGATCTAGAAAGATTAGGTAACTTACACTTATGCTCACAGAGCTGTTAAGTGGTACGGCTAGAATTTTTTTTTAAATATTTATTTTTTAGTTGTAGTTGAGCACAATACCTTTATTTCACTTATTTATTTTTATGTGGAGCTGAGGATCCAGAGTCTCACACATACAAGGCAAGCGGTTTACTGTTGAGCCACAACCCAGCCCAAGGCTAGAATTTGAATTCAGGTTTTCAAACTGTGAATTAGGTGTCATGAATTTTGTGCCAGCACTATGATAAACATTTAGGATTAAAGACAAGATATATCTTCTCTTGATAATCTTCCAGTCCCATGGGAGACACAGACAGGGATCAGTATAAACAAACAGAAGTTGACCAGAAGTGCTGCAGGACTACAGACTACCACTCAGACTGCAGAAAGCAAAGGTGGCTTCCAAAAGGAAGAGACAACTGAACTCAGGAAAAAGAAGAGAAGGGTCTTCCAGGAATGAAGATCAAATGCAAAGAAAGGGAGGAGGGACCTGCATATACAGTAACAAAATCTGGACTTGTTAGTAATCAGAAGCCAGTGGAAACTATCAAAAGTTAGGAGATATGCATTTTGAGGAAGACTGCTTTGTCAAGTAATGAATTAAATACGGACAGACACAGATGAAAGAGGCAGGAGATCAATATCACAGCCTGATGAAGAAATTCTGAGCATGACCAAAGGTGCAGCAGTGGGGACCAAGAGAAAAAAATCTGATGGATATAAAGTAGATAAACTACATTTAATAGAATCTGGGGCCTTTTGGATGCTGAAGGGAGTAGACAGTTACATACAGGAATCAGAGCTAGAGGCACTAATGAGATTGCTTAAGGAGAGGGCACTGAATGAGTCAGAACTGGCATGGGAACAGTAGATGTGCTAGAACGTGTGGCCTGGGCTTAACCAGAATGGGAGGGAGGACACAGGAAGTTGAAACACAAAATGAAATGCAGAGATCATGGTTTTGGTACTTTCATAAAGTCAAAAAATAGTAACAATTATATTGGATTATCCAGATGAGCCCTAAGCCCAAGGGCCTTATGAGAGAAAGGCAGAGGCAGATTTCATATAACCAGAAGAGGAGGAGGCAATGTGACTAGAGAGGCAGAGACCAGCAATATGGCCACAAGTAATGGGATACTAACAGCCACCAAAAGCTGGAAGAAGCAAGGAACAGATTTCTAACCAGAGCCTCCAGAGGGAACACAGCCCCGCCAGTTCCTTGATTTCAGCACAGCAATATTGACATCAGATTTCTTGCCTCCAGAACAGTGAGAGAATAAATCCCCCACTTCCTTCCCATATAGAGGATTGAACTTTACCATGGAGATACATCCCTAGTCCTTTTTATTTTTTTAATTTTGAGACAGGTTCTGGTTAAGTTGCTGAGGCTGGCCTGGAACTTCTGACACTCCTGCCTCAGCCTCCTGAGTTGCTGGGATTACACCCAACAAACCAGGCAAATTTCTATTGTTTAAGAAATCTGTGGTGATTTGTTATAGCAACCCTAGGAAACTAATACAAGTATATAGGGTTATGACTCTGTCATAGTGTCAAATACTCCACAGGTAGACTATAATACATGAATTCAGCTCAATAGTAACATTCAATGAGAAACAATAAGCAATTTGGAATTTATAAAAAGTTGTACTATGTATCTTACTATTTAATATTAGTAAAATTTATAATAGCCTTATTATAGTGGGGCTAGAATGTAGCTCAGTGGTAAAGCACTTTCCTAACTATACACAAGGCCCTGGGTTTAGTGCTCTGCCAATGAGCCACAACCCCAGCCCCCCCCAAATATTTCTTTAATTAAAAAAATATAAACAAGGAAAACAAAGCAATGAGCAAAGGGAACAAAAGTACTAAAATCAATGGTTGTAGTCAAAGAAAAGATTAAACCTTTTAAGGTTTCAGAGGTGACCATTCTTCCCAAGAGGTGACAAGGTCATGGCCTGCTGTGTGGTAGCTGCAAGAGAAGAGGAAGGCTCTAGCCTTTGTGATGTCCACACACAGGATGGTTCCCACCACACCTCACAGTTACTGGTATCAAAAAAATATTAAAATCAATTCCCATTTTCTGAAAAGTAAAAGGAGACAAGAGTTTCTTACTGATAGCCATAAGAGAAAAAAATGGCCATTGGAATTCTGATCTAAATAGCACTGACTCATGGACCATCAAGGGGAATAACTTAGCCATTGTCCATGGGCTGTTAACCAGAGAAGCTCTAGGCTGCCAGCAAAACTTCCCAGACAAGGCTAGGGGTGTAGCTCAGGGCTACCATGTGTACCTAATATGCATAAGGCTGAGTTCCTTCCATACCAGAAAGGAAAGGATAAGAGGGACAGAGAGGTGGTGAGGGAGAGAAGGAAGGAGAAAGAAAAGGGTCGGGAGGGAGACATAAAAGAGAATGAGAGGGAGAAGGAAGGAAGAGAAAACTTCCCACACAAGTATTTCATCACACCAAGCAATGATCTGAATCCTGGTGAAAGACTAAAAGTACTGAGAACAAAATCAGATGCCAAATGATTCCCAGCAGGGATAAGGTCTTTCTAGGAGTCAGCATGTTCTGTTCTTCACGGAGGGTACACTTCCTCCTTTGCATGGCGTCCAGATACAAACAAAGTAGAATGATGTAGAAGAGTGTTATTCAAATTGTGGATCAGTGCCAGTCTATAACCAGTGGAAGACAAGATGAGGAGATTGAGCCAGAATGAAAATCAATGTACAGTTTTCCTCATTGAAAAACATTAGCTGAACTAAACTGTTACACACAAGATCTCCCATAACTGGCCTGCAAACCACACTTTGAATTGCAATGGTGTGGACTCCTGGGAGCTTTATGCATGAGCTAACCCTACTCTATAAGAAGAAAAACACCAGACATCAAGCTGCTCATATCTCCATTCCTCACTCAAGCTCAATAAAACCTGAAACATTTTGGCTTTCTTTAACTTTGTTTTACCAGTATTACCCATATTTGACTGACAAACCTGTGCTTTAGGTAAGTTAACATTGCGTGGTTAAACTATAGGCCTGGCACAGAAATCTCCTACAATAAATTAATTTAGTTAGTCTCTCAGTGTACCAGGGCAGCTGGCCATTCACCCTATACCATTTTTACAATTTTACTTTAATCAAATAGGATGGTCTCACCCATCTGCAGCCTTCCTGTTCATTCAACTGAATCTCTAGTTATATCAGGATCCTTTCAGGTCCTAGACCCTCCACTGTAGGGCACTGAGGCAGGAACACTCTGTACCAAGGCCTCAGCCAAATGAAATTCTACCACCTCAGTCAGAGTCTCCCTAACCACCCTATCTACACTGTTCTCTCTTGTATTTTCTACTATAGTACCCTACATTAAACCTCCCAAAACTTCCCTCGATTTATCATTATTTTTATGTATCTATTTGTTGTCTCTCTTATCTAATAAACTATAAAGAGAGGGCAAAAAGCATGTTTGTTTCTCTCATTATTGTATGTTTTACTATATGTGTATCTAACACAGTGCCTGGGACATAGTAAATACTCAATAAACATTTGTTAAACAAGCAAATTTGCTACCAGTTTAGCAGTTTAAAGAACAGGTTTTCTAAGGAAAAGCTATTTGAACCATTATTATTTTGTAAATCAAAGGTAACTACATTTTTAAAAAGGCAGAGAAAGTAATAAAAACAGGAAAGAAAAAGTGGTACAGCTATCATACCTTGCCTCTCCTGTCTGGGACTCCATCTGGTTAACCCAAGATTTGTAGATGTCCACAGGGTCAGTTTTGATGTTGAGAGATTTGTCATCCATAATCTCTTTCACGACAGGGGCCAAGATCTGTCTCAGTGCATTCTGGCCCCGGGCACCACGGTTGAAACTTACAACCATCTTAATAACTGTAGGATTTCCTGTCACAATCTCTTGAATCTGATCTACCTTTGACCTATAAAACATCAGATACAATTCAATTTAATCTCAGAATTTATCATCTTAAAGAGCATTCCTATTTATAGATTCCCATATCCTTGGGAACAGAGCAAGTTGAAAATATTTCCCAACACTCATGGAACCTTCCTGCAGCTATATACTGACTCATGGAGTCATGATGAGGGCCTCTTAGACAGACATACGGGGCCATTATGTTTGGATCAGCTTTATTTGGAATTATATCTGACAATAAAATATTTCTAAAATTAATTTAGCAAATCTCTTATTCTCCCAGAAGCAAAACTTTATATTATATACTTTATATATAATTTTTTAAAAGTGGATGCTTCTTTAGAAAGTACTTCTCACAAATTAACTGAGATAAAGAAAAGGCCTGGGCAGGACTGATTCTGAAACTATGAGCATCTGTGATGGTTGGAAGGGGCGCCACTCTGCAGCAATCCCTGCGTACTTGATCTCCTCCTGGAGAGCTGTCTTAAACAGTCGCAGTAGCAGGTACTCCTCTCGCTGATTGGATGCATAGTTGTAGAGTGTGAAGATTACAGAGTCCATGAACTTTGTGGACTTGTTCTGGGGCATCTGAAAAATCAGCTTGGCCAGATAGGTGGGGTTGGTCTGAAATAAAACCAAGGGATAAGTAATTCCTAGATAACATGAAGACTAACAAAAAATATTCTTTTTTTTTTTTTTTAATTTGAAGGGTTAGATAAGTAAAGAAAAATAAGACAGCCCTGCACATACCCTCAGTAGAAATCAGAAATACTTTCAAGAGATGTATGGGTAAGATTTCCTCGTGGGAAAGTAAATGAACTAAATGTTGCAATACCAATTTGAGGAGCCACTCACCTGCAGTAAATAAAACAGGTGCTGATAAGCTTCTAACTTCTCTCTCTTCTCCTTGCTCAAAGCCTTGAGACCTCCCTTCTGTTTATTTATCATCATCATATCAGACAACTGTTCCTTATTTTTTTTGGTAAGCTTTTTACTGTGGGAAACCACATCCTATAAACAGAAACCAACACACAGATTGAAAAGTTTTCTAAAAGGAAACTCTGGGCATGTGAAAAGGTCTTTTAGTACCTGCACACTTACATGAAGGTCTTCTATGCTGGCAGATCCCCACTAAATTTTTTTGAACCACTAAAATATCCTATTTTAGCCTAGTATACCAATCAACTCCATTCCAACTTCTGCCTTCCTATAAAGAATATGAGCAATATGGGTGGTTTTTCATATAGGCTCATGGATAACAAAAAAACAAAAAACAAAAAAAAGAACAGTCCATGGAATCAGGAAACCACCTTCTAGGAATTTATCTTAAAAATATAGAGCACCCTAGTTCAATCCCCAGTACCCCCCCCCCCGCCAAAAAAATAAATAAATAAAACAAAACCACCACCACCACCAACAAAGCATCTTAAGCCAGTCATGGTTAGTATATGCCTATAATCCCAGGTACTCAGAAGGTTGAAGCAGAATGGTCACAAGTTCATGGCCAACCAAGACAAATTAGCAAGATCCTGTCTCAAAGAAAGAAAAAGTCAGGAGGGCTGGGATGCGGCTCAATGGTAGAACACTTGCCAAGTATGTACAAGGCTCTAAGGGGAATCCTAGAACAGAAAACAAACAAGCAAGCAAAAACAAAACAAAACAAAAAACCCACACACAAAAAAGAAAATCTTGTACACAGTGATAGTCCTGGCTACTTTGGAGGATGAGGAAGGAGGATTATTTGAGTCTAAGAGTTCAAGGACAGCCTGGGCAGCATAGTGTGATCCCATCTCAAAAAGAAAAATTCAAATACAATAAAAACATCATTTGAGATATAACTACTATTTTACTTATAATAAAAACTTGGGAAACAACCTAAATGTCAAAACAGTAGGGGAAAATGAGGCAAATCAAGTGTGTATCTTTTTTTTTTTTAAGAGAGAGAATTTTTTAATATTTATTTTTTAGTTTTCGGTGGACACAACATCTTTGTTTTTATTTTTATGTGGTACTGAGCATCAAACCCAACACCCCGCGCATGCCAGGCGAGCACGCTACCGCTTGAACCACATCCCCAGCCCCTCAAAGTGTATCCTCTAATGAAGTATTATACTGCCCTTAGATTACTTATGATATTTATCACATGGAAAAAGAGTCTTATCCTCTAACATTAAAATGTAGGAGGACGTGTGAGGCACTGGGTTCGATCCTCAGCACCACATAAAAATAAAATATATTGTGTCCACCTACAACTAAAAAAAAAAAAAAATATATCTAGGAGGCCTGGGCATGTAGCTGATTGGTAGGGTGCTTGCCTAGTATGTGTGAAGCCTTGGGTTGATCTCCAGCAGCACAAAAGCAAACAAAAACAAAACAAAAAATAGGATAAAAAATGATTACAGAGTAGTGGAATTAGGGGAGGATTTTTTATTTTCTAAAATTCCATTATTTTACTTCATATGAAACTTTAAAAAAATGTCATTAGCTGAAAAAAAGTTTTAAGTCTCTATGCCCCCTGAAGGTCAGAAAAGGTAAAGCAGAGGTAACAAAGCAGGACGCAAAGTGCTGTAGGGTCCCACGGGCATTGGGTCATACCTGCAATGTAATTTTATTTTTCACTAGCAGTCCAATTTTGATATCCATGAGATTGAGGTCATTCTCTAGTTGCTGGTTGGAACGAATGAGGGTGATGACTTCTTCCCGCATCTTCATAAGATCAAGCTCCTCCTGAAAATCCTGGTCACTTTGGTCCAGTAGGTGGACAAATTTTCGAACCACAATCATAGGAGGATCCTCAGCATTGACTGACAGAAGGAAAAACATCCATCACACAAAGAACAAGAGTTATCAAAAAAAGTTCTAAGGTTCAGGAAGTATCTGCATTATCTTGAAAATTTTTGAGACGTCTTAGCTATATCAAATGCAGTCTCCTCTATCATACTATTGCTATGTTACAACAATGGCTAATGCAGCAAGCAACAAGACATCTAGCCACATTAGAAAAGGGGCTTAAATCCCAAGTAGTACCTTCCCACCAAGCCTTGCCTTCAGGACAACCAAAGAGATCTGTGGTGAACACCCAGAACCTGCCTCAACTCCTCCCAAGTTACTCACTGAGAGTCTTGTAGTCATCACGAGCTTTGTTTGCCCGAATAAAAGCCTGGATTTTGATAATGTCATTTATCTGAGAAGCAAAGAAAAAGAAATGCCTTTGCTCATTCTTCTAACAAATATGTAGTAGAAGCAATATAACTGGCCCATGTTACCCAAGAGTACTTACATGGTCTCGGAAATACTGTAGGCGATCTCTATAGCGCTTTCTAGCTTGATGCATCCTTGCCAGGGACTGAATCTGTGGAAAAGGGATCCTGGAACTTAGAAGAGTCCTTCTTTAAACATGCCATGTTTGCACCCCACCTGGAGGAACCTCACTCAGGCTACCATACCTTCACAACTTCATCTTTATGGGAGCGCAGGTAAGCTAAACGATCTTGATATGCCTTCTTCTGCTTGTATCCTCTCCACTGTGACTGCAGTCATCAAATATTATAGGTGACATGTTATTTCCCAAGGATCAGTGGAAGTTAAAAAAAATCTCATCCTGACATATCATCCAAGTACAAGTTCATGAAGAAGCTTTAGAAAGGATTGCTTCCAGCAGTGACACTAGAAGGAGGGCCTGGCCACACCTCCTCCAGGAGAACGGTGGCTACATTCCACTTCCTGGACATCTTTTAAAGCGCAGCATAAAGAATCACTGACTGGTTCCTTAATAATAAATCTATTAAGGAAGCTAAAAATTAGTATTCCCATTCTACAGATGAAGAAGCAAACTTAAGATTCACCAGTGTCCGGCATGAGTGGCACCATAATTCCTAAGAATCCTAACTCAGGATTCTTCCTGTGACGACACTGTGCTACCATGTTATTGAAGCAAAACCAGTTTTTTCTCTCAAGATTCAAATTTTACACAAAGGCATAGTGTTAGAGAGAAGAAGAGGCTGCCCAAGAACTGCCACTGTACCATCATTAAACACTAAGCACACGTTAAACATTAAGCACACTGATTACAATGGTAGCAAAGAAAAGGTATTTGTTAAGAGGAGAAAAAAAGGTCAGAAGTTAAGAAACACACTCACACCTTTGATTTTAGGAGCTGACAGTTTATTGCCCCTGATCTAGAAGCCTTCTTGCTGTGTGTATAATACACTCTGAAATACCTGGATGCAGGTGATGGCAGGAATTTGTTTCTTCAGGAAATTCATTCTGGACCGGAATTCCTGTCGAACTAAGTAGCCACGGCAGCAAGCTTGCAGCTTGGTGATCAAGCCTTCATTGGCCAACCAAAGCTGTTCTCGGTTGTACGCAGCAGTCACCCCAGAGATGGAACTCTAAAAAAAACAGTGGTTCACATTCAAAGATATCCAAAATTGAGAATGGACACTAATTTTACCAAAGTTTCATTCAAAGCACAAATCTAACCCTCACTGCTTCCTAAATCTCTATTAGATTTTCACCTGAGCAATAGAAATAAACCTCAGGTGTGTATTTTTAGGGCGAGCTTGGAAATACAAGTTATCTTCTTTTACAAGTTATCTTTTATCCACCCAACTATCTCCACTATACTAGCTGAGAAGGAGTCACTGTTGACAGGAATATAGTGATTGGTACCACTACAGGGCTGTGTACTGTGCACAGGTGGCTCCCAGGATGCAAAAGTGTGGCATCCCTACACAGACTGCAAATGATCTTAAAAAGCAATCTAGAGGTTTTGGACTGTTGCTGTAGGAACTGGAGAACCAGAAAACCTTGAAGCAAAGAAATTAACGATCAGATTTATTTTCAGAAAAATAATACTATTAGAAGAAAAGCTGACAGAATGGAGTGAGGAGAAATTTTAAGAAAGTGAGTGAATCAGAAAGCTGCCATCATAATGGAAGTGAGAGGACCTGGGCTTAATGAGGGCAGCAGCAGTGAGAATGGGGAGGAAGAGCTTCTGGTTACCCATTTAATACCCACATTCTCCCTTTTCTGTGGTGTTAGAGTCTTCTCCCCTCTAGCATCCCCCACACCCCAGCAACACCATGAGCATTTAAACCACCCCTGCTTTGAGTAGGCATGGTTAGGTGAGACCTTTGGGAAAGCTCCTGAAGACAGGGAGCTGGCAGTATGCCCTCTAGCTTTTCTTCCCCTTCTTACATTCTGTCTGGACTGCTAACTTGATAGTCGGAGCGCTAAGGTCATGTTCATAAAGCCAGGTAATATCACCCCATCTTTAAATTCTTAGGTCCTGACATACCTGCAAAACACTAGACAGGAGTGTTTCTCTGGCGGTAAGATTCTCAAAGGCACATGACCCAGCAAGGGTTACACACTACTCTGGTAGAAGATGGAGCCTGGATTTCTCAACATAGTGCCCATTAGACTGTCCCCCTCTGCCTCCTTTAATGCAGTACCATCAGTATGCCAGTCAACAACACTAATGCGTTAATCTTTAAATAGTCTATGTTCTTTCTCAGTGCCTTTCCCCACATGTCTTTTCTGCCCTAAAGGGCCTTTCCTCTTTTTCTGACCTGCTAAAATATTGCCTATAATAGTATGAAATATGATATGTCAAGAACTGTGTAACGTTGTGAACAACCAATAAAAAAAATTGCCTATAATATCTTTTTACAGCACAGAATTAACTTTTCCTTAACATTTCCATCACTGTATTATTAGAGCCCCTACTTTTCCCTGCCTTACACTGTTGGAATCAGTTCTGTGTCAGCTGTTTTCACAATACTGTGAACAAATGAAAGGCAGATAATCTCTGGATCAATCAAATTTCCTTTAATAAGCACACAATTTATCTCACTAAATTCTACTATTCAGATGTTTTACCTTTAGTTGTCCCCCAAGCCACTAAAAAACATTACTCTGGGCCTAGGGTTGTGTAGCTCAGTGGTAAGTGCTTGCCTAGCATGTGTGAGCCAATGGGTTTGATTCTCAGCACCACATACAAAAATATAAATAAATAAATAAATATTA